AATTAAAAATTAAAACTTTAGTAGTAATGTTGGTGTAGAAACCTGATCTCTTACAACCTATAATAACAGTCGGTAAAAGTTAATCCTATGATAACTGTAAATTTAATTATTTATTTTGATAAACTTTTTTTTCTTTGCACCGCTATATGTATATTGTCGCTTAAGGGCTGCAACAAATAAACTTATATTAAGTTCGTCAATATGGTTTTTCAACCACCAAAGTCAGGGAAACGGTATACATCATGCCAATATGCAAAAACAGATCTTCGCAATCTCGAAATTTTTGTCAATGGGAAATAAGTCTAGTCGAGACAAATAATGGGAACATAAAGTCAGTCGAATCTTATAAAAAATATAAATTTTCATTCGCAAAATTTTGTCCCAGCAGAGGAAACGTATTTTACCAAATCATGAGAAGCATTCAAGTTGGAAAACACACACGCCCGGAACCAAATATGACTAAATATTTTAATTTTGGAAAGCAAAAAATTCCACCATTCTGAACGGTAGAAATTATAGCTGCTATTATGGAAACCACGTCTCCTGATTAGATTTCTTTTCCCAACACCCTTGTTCGAAAAGATCCGAACTTAGGATGTCTACAGTCCGAACCATTGGGTATAGGGCGGGTAAACATTAATTGGTCGGGTAAAAAAAATTTTTAGGCATCGATAAAAATTTTAAAAAATTAATTGTTTTGGTTTTCTAGATACAGAATGTTGTCTGGAGGCGGTTACATATTAACAAATTCATTTTATTTCATTGAGTTTGTTTTTCACACCAACAAAACGGAATGACATCCCTTCGTTAGTTGGGCATTTCTATCATAATCTGATAATGGACTGCATATCTTAACTTCCCTGATATCATTACCGTTATATGGTACAGAATCTTGAAGGAATCTCTGTTGGGATGCCATTGAATTAAAATCCCTGAGCCGTACATCACTGTCGTCGAGAGACTAGAACAAACGGGTTTTCAAATAGCACTTTATTGCTAAATCGATGAAAATTTATGTAAATATTTATACTTTTTGCGATCCCTGAGATCGGTGTAGGTTACCTAGTTAAAGTTGTTGCTTCGGCTTCTACATGAATTTCTTATTAAAATATAATCACAATATTAATGCCACTTTGCGCTAATGTTAATAACAAATTTGTGATACAGTAAATCATAAACAATGTTTATTTGTTATATTTGCGTTTATACAAATATATACAAAGAGCAAATAATTAAATAGTTGTGCAAAAATATTAGAAAATAGCCGTTAATGTTATCCAAATTAAAATGGAAAAAGATAAAAGATAAATAAATTAAAATTGAAATAAATATCGATAAAATTGCATTTGTATGTATGAATATTACATTTTACATGTTAGTATTAATGATTGCAAATGGTTTTGCTTTATTTAAAAATGTTCCAAACGAAGAATGTGCAACCAAGTGTTATTGGTGCGCTTGCTGGTGTTAGTAGTGATGCTAATGGTGTTTATTTTAGTTCTATTTGTATTTACTTAGAAAATATATGGGTGCGTAACAGTGACACTATTGCCATTACATTGTGGTATTTTGGTGCAATAAATTTATTTTGTTATCTGCGTTTTTTTTTATTGATTTTTCCATTCGATTGCTTTTATGTGCTTTCAACGTATTCGCTTTTTATTTTGCTAGTTTTTATTTTTGTTTTCTCTTTTATTTATTTATTTTAACTTTTTGCTTGCGAAAACGCTCTGTGTGTTGCGTTTTATGTGCCGTTGTTGTCATGCGATTTTGGTGCCGCGTTATTCCGAAAAATCTCCTGACATGCTCACGCCTTTCTGCTGGTTTTGTTTTTAAATACTTACTTTGTGCATGTCAATTGTTGATTTTATGGTCAGCTTTGTGGTTTGCTGAGAAAATTTTTTATGTGCGTAACACATTGTACGTTTTTATACACTTATATATATATATATTCGTCCAACCTTAGTTTCTCAATACGCGTGAGATTTATTGCCCATTCAGTGCCTTTATTGTATTATACTTTGATACAATTTGTAATAAATTTGAAAATGGCATTTTTTAACATAAAATATTGTCCTTGAACGATGTAAAAGCTAACTGGCTTATATACATATATATGCGTTAAACAGGTATTGTCAGAACTTTTCGCTGAGCTTAAAGTGAAAAATACTTTCATAATACCAACTCACGGAATCCAATTAAGAACAGAACAAATACATGTGAGAGGAACTTGAATTTAATGGAAACACAGGATCAACACCTTCATCCTCATCCGACTGTGCGAGGGCTATTAGGGCTAACTCTCAAAGAAATCACCTTTGAGGCGTGGAAAACTTCTTTAAGACATTCAGGCAGTGAACTGTTATTTCGGCGTGCTTTTTCCAAACTTCTTTGAAAAGTGCTTCTAACCAAGGTACATCCATACGAAACTATTGTATAACAAATCGAGTTTAGCAAAAGACATGGTACTATAGCATAAGTCGTAACCATTAGGACCAGATTGCAATTTGATTTGAAAGCGTGCAACAAGGATACATAGAAACACGTGGAAACGAAATAACAGGTAAGTTAGGAAAAGAACCCTTCTTTAAATTAAATACATTAATATAAACGAAGAGTTAAGATCAGAAGAGGTCTACATATGGAATACCTGTTGTTGTTCAACTATACCAAAAGCAGTTAAACATTTAAACTTACTTAGAAAAAATAAATAATTTAATAATTAATTCAAGTATTCTAACATAACAATGCAGACTTTGATACCGTAAGTACAAATTAAGTATAAGCTCTGACTGCATTTGCCAGTACTGTAATATAAAACTCAAAACCTTGGTCCTTCTTTAAAAAAAAAGAGAAAGAAGGACATAATACTTAGAAGTTACAGCATGACATAGATTGCTTTAAGGCCTCCTAAACACTATTAGGGCAAATTATAATAAGTGTAGATTGGATAATAGATCTAAAGTCGAGTTGCGGAGCCTCTACTCTGCTCAATTAAAAATTCAAGTAAACTAGAAAGCCACTTGAAAGATTAGAATTTTTGAATTATTCCTATTTTTTCTGGAAAGGTTTCTACGAAAAATTTTTTCGGGAGGTAGAACAGAGACAACCTACTCGCAAAAATTTTATTTATTGCTTGATTTACGTGTAATTTAATACATCTTTGGGTTTTCTCTGACCATTTTGTTTGAGCAACGAAGAAGTCACCTACATTTGTTTATTCAGCCAGGCGGCTGAAAATGTGAATAGCGTTTATGGTTCTGATACTGTAACAGCCAATCACGCACAATTTAGTTTTGCGATTCCGTCCTGGTAATTTCGATCATGGTCATAGTCGAACCCGACCATCAGGTGAGCACTGTTTCGATTGCTCAAGTGCTATATATTGCAAAAAAAAAAAACCCTTTAGAACCAATGGAATAAGGCTGGATATGAAAAGAATCTTAATGTATGGGCGTCACACGAGTTAACATAAAAAAACTTCATGGACCGAATTTCCATCTGCGAATCGCTGCGGAATCGCAACAAAATCGGTCAATCTCTAAAGCGGTTGGTGACTGGCGATGAAAAGTGGATAACTTACGACAACGTCAAGCGAAAACGGTCGTGGTCGGAAACGCGGCGGAAACGGTTGAGAAGCCATGAATGACGGCCAGGACAGTTTTTCTTTGTCTGCGGAAGGATTGGCAGGGAATTATTGACTTTACTCGGAACCGTTATGTCGACAATTGGACCGTCTGAGGAAAAATTTCGCTCATAAGCGCCCAGCTTTGGCCAATAGAAGAGAGATTGTGTTCCATGAGGACAACGTCAGGCCACACGCACCGAAAGTGACTCGCCAGAAGCTCTATGAGCTTAGTTGGGGGGTTATTATGCATCCACCTTATAATCCAGATCTGCCTCCAGGTGATTACCATCTTTTCTGGCTTGGACGTCGACTGTCTCAAGTTTTTGCCAATAAGTGAGAGATACATAATGAAATTACCTTTAAATTGGCACATATGAGAGATTATGATGACCGAGATACGCGCCTGAAGGATAAGCAAAAAGTCTTTTAGACCGGTGACCGAAAATCGTTGACCATCCAGACTCCCCTGCATGAGGAAGGCCCCGGTTTCACTTGCCTCTCACACTAAGCAGCAATAGATTTACTGATCAGCTGTTATAAATTACAAGGGAAAATCTCTTAGTTAGTTGGTTGTGATACACAGTGGGACTAACAAGTGAGGCGAAAATTGATAAGGTAATGTATGGGTCATTGAACTCTTTAGCTCAAACTTTAATGAAAGCTAAGACGTCTTTTGCTGTTTTTCTTTTAATATCTTACTTTTCTGCAAAGACGGGAATAAGTTTTGCTTTAATGAAGTTATCACTATGTTCGTTAATGGTTTATATAGAAATTTAGCACACTAGAATTCAAGTACACTAGTTGGGATATTATCCATGTTGTTAAGGACATTAAAATGGTGATAAACAATATCAAGCGGAAATATAAGGAACAAGCAAGGGTAAATGAGTGACTGTGGGGTTGAATTTGTTCTCCGCGCATAATTAGATTCAAAAAAGTCTGCGAACATATTTGCGATTCTGCAACAATCACTAGAAACTTCATTGTTAATTTTCATTCATAGACTATAATCAGAATCTTGGTCGAATCTTTTGTAGAGCTTAAAAGAGCGAAACTAAGAGATCCAAAAAGCTGCCGTGTGCAATCCAAATAAATTTTTCAAAGTAGTAGAGCAACAAATAATACCTCAACTCGCCACTCTGATCATATCGGTATTACTTTTAATGATCCTGCGTTTAACTCCTGTCTTTTCAGATTTTACTTAAAAAATTGCACGAAAATTAGGTTCCTTTTTGTTTTCATTACATCAAAGTACAATACACATACACTTTTCGAATAGATTACTTTTATCAACGATTTTTGATGGTGCCATACTACTTATCATACTGAGTGAGTGCTGCGACATACATATGGTGCCAAACATACTATTTTATTTAAAGTGCATTATTAGCTGGAAGCAAGTGCTCGATATTTTTTTTAGTTGCATACAATTGCAGTTGTAAGTTTCTTATTGTTTTTTTTTTGGTGCCATTAACGGTTTTACATATCACATTCACAAATTTACCCGAAACGGACAGTACCGCCGTATACTCAACGGATCCCGCGCGATTGCTCACACGACACGTGTAGTTGCCGTTATGGCGTGACGTCACATTGTGTATGGAAATGATGCTGGAAAATGGTGTATACTCATTGATGGTGAGCGAACTGTCTGTTGGACTATTGCTTTTGCCTCCACCAGCACTACCACCACCACCACCGATATGCCCATTGCCGCCAATACCGCCATTCAAATCATTTGGTAAATTCGCGACGGGTAATTTGTGTGCGACATTGCTCACTATAGGTACATTGTCCTTTAACCAAGTTATATTGAAAGGCTGGTCGCCTTGACTACTCGAGCACATAAGTTGCGTACGCATTCCTTCGGTGATTTCCTCTTCGAAGTTGAATGGTGAAATGCGTGGGGGAACTAAATATATAAATTTAAATATATAATTTTGTAAAATATAGATATTTTCAAATTAAGTGGATAGCTAGAATGAGTGGGAGAGTGTTTGAAAGTAGTGAAACTATAAAACAAAATCAGTTTATTTTACATTTTTCAATCATTTTCAACCACCACTTGTGTAAATTATTATTACATTCAATATTATATTTACTTATAATAATAATAAAATTATAAATGATATTCTTTTGGTATATGTGATGTGTGTCATATATCAAATAAATCGCAAAAAATTATTATTAGTTTTAAATATTTCAGAATATTTTCTCATATCCAACAATATCGATTGTATTACGTATTGTTCATGTGTATGTGTTTTGTTTTAAATTCCCCACAATGCTATTTATATATAATAGAATAAAGAGTCTACAAATATGTCTTAAATATATTTACCGGTTAAAATGAACTACCTATTTATTCATTCACCACAAACAAAATTCCAATTCTTTTGTTCATTTTAGAATATATTTTTGTTTTAGTTTGAGCGCAAATAATTTCATAGCTAACAAAAAAAATATTTCTTTAATTTGACAATTTTTTCGATTAAATGATATTAAAATTCTTAAAACACTTAATTGTTATTTATGTTTAATTGTTATATAACAAATTTTTTAAAAGATTATTTTACTTATAATCATTAAGTGTTTAAACCTCATATACACGCTGACAACAGTTTTCTAATATGAGTATTTAATCTATAAACAAGAAAGAGTCTATCCACATATAAAATTGGTTGAAAATGAGAAGTCTCGTGTTGAACCTGATGTATCACTAGCTAACTATCATCGAGTAAAAAATGGTGCATCCAACTCTATCTCGGTGTCATTACAGTGTTCTAAATATGTCTACCTATAACCAGCTGGGATCACTATCTCGTCGCGGTGAAGATACGCACTCACCGCAAAATAATGCCCGAAGAAAACACAAAAAAATTTTGACGTCAAAAGCTACAATCTTACTCAACTTGCACACCGGTTTTCTGAGGGCGCTCATCAGTAACTCGATAAAGGGAACTGTGAAACGACAAGCCCAACTTCCTACACACCACCGCTATGGAAACAATTGCTTCTTGACTGTGCTAGAAAAAACGTTGGTTCGATGAGAAATGTCGATTTGCAACGGGAAGAAAACAGACTACCTATCAAGCAACGTTGCACTCGACCAAAACATGTGCGGGGTGGTAAAGATATCGAGGGCTGAGGAGGGAGAAAACTCATGTAGGAACCAAGGATGTATGTAATTTGCTGACAATTTCCACAGAATACTTAGTGTGTGGAGAAAACACTTCTCCAGCAGGTCGTATGCCCTGGGAAGCGCAGCAACCAGAGATGATGAATGCAAAAGCCCAAACGATGATGATGAAAAAATCGTTCCAATATCCGACTATAGCGTGTTTTGTATAGGGATTGCCTGCTTTAGGAACAGCAAAAGGGATGGAGGCTTTGGCATACCGGCAGCGATATTTAAACATGGTGGCGAAGAACTGTCAAGTTGAAGTAGTAAATATCGCATATATCGCACATCTAAGCTGTTCGGTTGACTCTTTATCAATTGACTTCTTTAATCTATTGCTGGAAAATAATAGAAGCTGTCGAGCTAAATAGATACTCTCCATTGCTGAGATAGCCGGATGAAAACATTCGAGCTTCGAATAGTTGACGAAGAAGATATCCACTCATCTGAAAAGAACAGGTGGACAGCAACCTATCACCGCTTGAAGTCGAACCCACCTATAAGGTAGGAATCTGCCAGCCTTTTTGAAGAACAACACGTTTCTCTTGTAACTCATTCCGAATAATTAACCAAAGCTTCGATTTACTAGTTGTTAAAATTTTAAAATTTGTTGTTAGATTTTAATGTGTCAGATCCAAGAAATAAACTACTTTGTTAATAAACAAAGGTTTTTTTTATCCAAACGATGTAAAATTAATTTCAATCGAAATACGAATAACTATTCGATAATTTTGCCTTACCTAGCTCTAAGTGTGGGTAATAAAGAAAATTAGAGTTATTTATTTTAATTTAACTTGCAGAGAGGCAGCCTCCAAAGCAAAGTATAAAGCTCTTAGAATTAAATATGGAAATTTCAAAAGGTAAATAAGGATTGAAATGCATACGATTTATTTACCCATAAGCCACTTAAGAAGTTGGGTTTTCAATCAAACTAATTTTAAATTTTTTTAATTATTCATGTTATCAAGGAAGTTGATGATCTTAAGTTTCTAATATTTATTGAGGCGATTGAGCCGTCCATTGTAACTTATAATAATAATTATATCCTGATCCTATCCATTTGACTGCCACTTATTTGTCTTATGAGTTTTAAAACAAGCTTTATACAAAGGTCCATCGTGACCATACATTTCACGTTAATCAAAAAACTGCAATTGATTCAGTTGAAACGTTTGGAAATATTATCACTAAAAGAGTTATCAAAATAAATTCTTTTTCGTTTTTACCCGAAACGAAATGCTGTCGTTAATGTTAAATCTTTAACAGATAATATTAAACGTTAACATTGAAGTTTGCTGTTAATAACATAGCAAGCAGTAATTTAAATTTAACGTTGAGAACGATGAGCTTATGCGATTTTAAAATGATCAAAATTATTTCGTTTCGATAATGAAAACTATTCTTTCGGTAAGTTCATTTTTTATATAACGAAAACAAGGTAGTAACGTTTATTTACATAAGCCTAGACGAAGATGGGCGATTTTCACAAATTTACTTTATGTAGAAATATAAAAAATTGTATTTGATGGATGTTGGTACGCTTATAACCAATTCAAGATGTTTTTTTACAATAATATTTTATTTACGCTAGCTATGAATATGTTTGCGCCAAAAATTACTTAATAATCATATACATGTTTCAATTTTATGTATGTTAATAGCTGCAAAGAAATGAAACAAGAAATAAATATGTAGAAATATATATCCTATTGCTGTACAGTAAAATTCCTATCCATTTATTCACACATTTTATATTGACACTTAACAAACGCTTAGCATATACATATGTATATATTCAAATCGATTAGATGTATGCCAATGAATTCGTTTACAATATTAACAAGCAACAACAAGAAAATAAATGGTTGTGCTGATAATAATTACATATAATGCAATAACATATAAGTTTGTATGAAAAAATTTATTTGTGTTTGTAAATGTGATTTTTTATGTGCAATAACATGCATTTGGCAATAAAGTCTGCCAAAAATTGGATTTTTAGCAAAATACAAAGGCATAAACTAACAAATTAACAACAACATCAATCAACACTGCATATGCATACGTATGTATAAGTAAATATATTTATTTATGGAAAAACATGCTGTGCATTATGAGCTTTTTCGCTAAAGTCCATGCAACTTCAAACCATGCCATAACAACTACAACTACATTACAATAACAATGATATTGAAAAAATAAATAATACCATTGACTCTTAGCTGTGCAGAGTGCGATACAGTGGCGGCATCGTTTTGGACGCGACACGTATAGGTGCCGCTCTGTGCTCGCGTCACACTTGTGATGCTGAGGGCGCTGGTAAAATCATCATTTTGGCGAATTGTCACTTGGCCAGCGCCACCATCTACACCACCGCTACTACCATCCGCATTCGTTGACATTAATACCGCCGCAGCCGCTGATGCTGAGGCTGAAGCTGGATCGTCGTAGGCTGTGCCACCTGATGGACCTGATGCAGCAACGCCACCGGTACCGCTATGATGCCCACCGCTAACACCGCCGCCGCCGCCGCCATCGCGCAATATATAATTCACACCACTACTACTGCCACCACCACCACCGCCGACAATCAGGCGATTATGTCCTGTTGCGGCCGCTGCTGCTGACGATGTGATGGTTGTGGCTATTTGCTGCAGCGGCTGTCCGTCCTTAAGCCAGGTAAATGTGAGCGGTAGGTCACCGGTGCCAATGACACATTGTATGCTCGTGCGGTCGCCGACATTCAGATCGCGTGCGAATGAGAATGGTGTAATCTTAGGTGGAACTTTTGGGAGTTGAACGAACGAAATGTGTTTTAAATTTGACGCGATATTTTTGTACGCATGAAATGGAACGCGATAGAGTCATTCATAGTCAGTTGTAAGATTTTAAGGCAAATTTACTATTTTATTAAGTGTAATATTCTTTAGTATACGTAGAAAGGGGAACAATTTTGTGAGTTGAACATTTAAAAAACATTAAAAAGTATTGAGATCTGTACTCGATCAATGCGCTGTGGGAAATCTGACACAATTTGCTGATCGACATCAGTATGAGAGTAATTTTAGTGTATGCCTATGGAGAGAAGAAGGGTGAAGGAGTACGGGCTAGATCCAAGGAAAAATTCGGTTAAGTAAGAAATCCGGCTCTCAAAAGCAACAAAATTCTGGAGTTGATGAAAATAGGAACCTTGTGGCTGAAGTTGACGGTATTTATAGTTTAAAAAAGGAACACGTCTCCAACCACAGTTGACGAATTCGAAACCCCAATCGAAAATGTTATAACTTTGCAGAAGTAGATAATTTCGTCTAAGTTGGAACTATTATTACCATTACCAATTGGAAAGTAAAGCTCTCTCTTGCATAACATATACTAAACTCTACTAGTCGCTTGTCATTCCCGTCTTTATGTATGAGGATACTTCGAACAAAAGTTATTGCGGAAGATGCATAGTATTATTATTTATAATATGAAATATGGTGGTTAAAAATGCTCTGGCTCTGAAATTAATTGTAGCTGTAACTGATTGTATAAGCAGAAGAGGAAGATGGTTTTCAGCTCGTTTGGAAGAAATACCTTGGTTTGTTGTCTCCAATTGGTGATGTTCGTCAAGGTCAAAAACGAATGCCGTAGTATTGTTCACTCGACTATAATTGGTGCAAGCGGTACTTACGACAAATAAGTAGAATAATAAGATGTTGATGTTGTTGTCTCCCTTTGTGAGACGTCTGTGTTTCCAATTATCAATAAAATGTATGGTAGTTATGATACACCCAGATATAGCAAAGGATACTGAGCCCTGAGAGTATGAGTATGTTTTGGTATAAAACGAATGACAGTCCCAATCTCAGTGGAAATCTTCAAGCTGCATTTTTAATTAACAAATTAACGACATATCTAGTATAACGTTTCTTAACTCTTTTTTTGGGTTTTAAGATCATTTAAAACTTATTTACTTTTGAAGAAAAAAAATATTTAAATCAACTTCCGAAATGTTCATCAGCAAATTGCCTACGATTTCCCATAGGCATTGATGTATTTTCTCCTATGCATGACTAATTCAGAAAGCTTTAGATTGAAGCACAATGTGGCAGTCGCCATTTTCATTAAATTTTAGATTTTTCATTTGAATTGTATTTTGTAGTAGATATGTAGTATGTGTTTATTTGTTTGCAGATAAGCCAAATGCCCACACTTTTAGATGGTTAGGGGGCGTGGCACTTTCTATTTTTTGCTTTGCAGTGAATGTGTGTGAGCTCAATGCGGTCGCTCTTCAAATACATACAAACATGAAATATATACATGTATATATGTATGTAAGCATAATGCGTATTTTTCTGTAGTTTGATTATTTTGATTTGAGTTGTGGTTTCGTGGTTTGCAGCAATTAACAACAGTTTGTTTGAATTGTGGTTGAATTTCGTTTTATATCTTTCAAATTCAAGTACTAGTCTCTGTGTATATATGAATGTTTATATTTATTACAGCGCCCTCATTTCGACGAATTTCAACTTTTATCATTAGTTAAATTTTTTATGAACACATATTTAGTGAAAAAGATTTGAGTAAGCTTCTACAACTAGTTCGTAAAACATATCTGTATTTAAATCATAGTCTTCTTTTAACTGAAAAATACGTTACGTCACTATTCATTTTAAATGCAGAATACCAGCTAAAGTAGCCACTATATTGCGCTCTTACCTTTACCTTTCAGCGCGATTTTAGCGTAGTTCAGGCTAGTAATATGACCTATGTAATATGACCTATGATATTACATGCGAACAATCTGAAAGTTATTTTCAGTAAATGGCAAATAACCTCGAATTAAATACGATGTCATGAAATATCTGTGAAACTTCGTAAATTAGAAGTGTCAACTAAAAGAGTGCGATGAGGTTGCATTGCAGTTATTGGATCTAGTCTGGTGGCCAACATTCGATAAAGTCAACTGTTCTCAGATTTAATGAACGGAATTGATATTTATTTGAACGAGTGATGGATTTTTATGATAAAGGGGTCTACTGCGATATGAAAACTTAATCTCCTATAATTTTGGTTGGTTGGTCGGACCAGGACAAGTATATCACAGTATATGAAGACTCATTTCATTCATGTACGGGTTCTAAATTAGGCAACCATTTCAGTGACGGAAGCTAATTAAAGAGGCTTTGTTTAGCAAGTTCTAGTGGAAGTGGTGGCTATACAGAAGGCTGTCAATTATCTCGGTTTAAGATAATTTCAATAAAGTTAATTTTTATTTTTCGGCACTTTGCGCAGCACTATCGGCAATAATAATATGAGAAACGATAGGGCTTCGTGGGAGATTAGCTGGGCAGTGCTTTCTGAACCTTGAGGTCACTTTTTTTTCTTTCGTCACAGGAAGAGCTTGGATGTACCGCTCCCCACTTGAATACTAATTATCAAGGCAAAAAATGAAAACTAGAGCCAAATAGCTGAAACAGAAGCAAGCCGATTGCTTGACTTTGTCAGTCCCTCATATTAGTTAAGCTAGTAGTTGGAGCTTCTTGAAAAATTCAGCGACCTAAGTAAGCCCAGAAAAAAATATTTATTATTATTTAAGCCAGACCTATTTTTCAATCGCTTAAAATATTTTCAACATTTATTAATTCGGTGCAACATGCAGTTGATCTGCCAACTGTCCGGATAATTTGTATTACTTTCGGCAATTTTTTTTTCCTTTTGCCCAAAGCTTTTACCACCAACATAAACTGGTATTTGTATATCGTCTTTGCCATTATGCTCGATGCAAAGTCCCGTATAAATCATTTGACCGCAAACCACTTAACCATTACCCATAAACATTGTTTAGCCAAGGACGACCGCATGTCACACAACACAATGCCCCATAATGAGGATTCTGTTTTGCTCGTCCACCCAAACGCTCAGCCCACAGAGACGGCAGACAAATACAGGCAACACATATGTAATTCCTACATATTTATATATATACATACATACATAATTATATACTATATATAGATATGTTTGTATGCATATATGAATGTAGTATTGTTTGAGGAATTAAAGCATGATGTCTGCTGACTGATATCCCCCCTTGTGTGTGCCTCGGGTATGTGTATGTGGGTTGAGCGTTCGGTCGTTGGATGTTGACAAAACACACAACTGTGCGGTGAGCGCCGAATGAGCACCGCACCATGACGCCGCGTCGCCAGTGCGTTTATGCTGATGCAGATGCAAGTGCAGGTTCAGATGCAGAAATGCAGAAAATTCAGATATGCAAAATTGTAAAATGCAAATCGTGAAGTGCACAAAACAAAAATGTCGGAGACGAAAATGGAAAAATATATAGAAAATAAAGAATGGAATGAAAAAATTCAAAAATCAATACAAAGTAAACAAAAAATAAATAAAAGCAGAAGAAGAGTTAGTTGTAAAAACAGTAAAAATATAATAAGATAGATTGTGCGTAAAAAATTGGTGCATTGCAATGAACGTGATTTAAATAGTTAGTTAACAAATAGAAAAAGAGAGCGATTGAGTGGAAGTATATTTTTTATTTTGTTTTAATTTAAATAATACAAATTTAGTAAAAATGTAGATGCAAGAGTTAAATTGAAGACAGCGTGATGGTTGTTGGCGGGCAACTTCACTGCGGGACGCGAGGTGAGTGGGAGTTTGAGTTTAATGTTGTGCAAAATTCGAGTTGCGTGTGCTGCATGCTGATCATTCACGTAAACTTTCGATGCAAGCAAGCAGGCGTGATCAAATACAAGTGCTGTGTGAGGTTGAGGAAAACGAGGACGGTTTGGTAGAGGATATATTAGATTTGTGATGCTTAAAATTGTAAGTGTTGGAATGAAATTTTCGTAATGTCAAAATTCAAAAATTAAATAGGTAAAGGCCAAAATATGTTATGTAATTTAAAAAGAGACTTAGAGTAGTTTTCAGGCGAATGTCTGTACGTATGTAAGTATTTTAATAATATTATTTTAAAATAATGGAGCTGCAAGCAAATTATTTTGAACAACATTGTAGCTTTACTCCTTAATTCATTCGATCATTGTTTCTAAAGCAATAATATTATAATGAAGACTCAATAATTATGATTCTTTAAGACATTAACAAATATGTATTTTAATAATGTTACTTTGGAACCTAAAGAGCATTGGCTATATGGCGGTAGCATACCCGATGAGCAGCGCCCTTTCACCTATTGTATATCGCCACCAGATTCTAAGTGGTCTATTTCAAAATTAGTATATTTCGAAAACGAGAATAAATAGTAGAAAACTTAATACTAATTAAAGCGGGTTGGTCATCTCCATTGCTCTATCTTAAATGACACTCTACTTAATGAGATACAAACACTTTCGTTTTAACTACTTCCAATAAAGGTCATGAAAATCAGTATATCTACTGATTAAGTATCTCGTTATAAGATTAAAAAACATATATATTATAAACAGAGGTGGTTAGACTAACCCTTTTCAACTGCTCTAACCTTTATTGGCCGGCAAAAAATAACACCTAGAAGAAAACTGAATACAAGCTAAGCACCTACGATAAATTTCAAGCGGGCTCTGAAGCAATTATATTGAACGGAACTCTGTTTTTAAGGAATCGAGATTAAGAAAGCTTCCGCTTCCTAAAGTCTGCTTAGGGTATATTTAACCAATAGTGTTCCACTGAGGAACGATAAATATCAAATGTGCCAGATAAAATAGCCGTAGGATTTTTTGCCCAATGACTTAAATCTCGATGACATTATTTAATGCGAGATTCACTTCCTATTACTCTCACTCAAATTAAAGATGATATAGCGAATGGCTGCATTCCGAGCAAAAATTACTACAATCAGATTTTTATATTTCAATTCTTACAAATCTATATTTTTATATTCCAAAAGCCAAGCAGCAACAAAATGTGGAAACACTTTTTTTAGGCTCTGTGTGACTTCTCGGATGTACAGATATATTGATTAGCTGCCCGGCGAACGAGCTGGTTGAATTTTTATGGTGTAACATAATCGATCATCAGCCCCAAGTATACTGCGCATAGGATCATCAGTCCAAAGTGGACAGGTCATGAGCCAGCAGCTCCATCAACTTAACTAAACTGTAAAGATTTTACTAGTTTATTTGCTGCCAGTATGTCATGTATTGCACCTGCAGAAAAGCTCTAAAATGCGTTTGCCGTGGCGTATGAGTAACATTTGTTTGTTAAATATTTTATACAATGGCTGTTATAATTTCCATATAACACTTTTTTAAAGAATTACAGTTATTTTTTTGTAATAAAATTTTATTTTCAAGCCTTAGTTAAACTCCAATATGTATATAATATAGCTTTTTAATATAACTTAACAAAACCTGATTATACTCCACTGTATGAAATTCATATTTTGCCAGATGTTTGCAAAAAAAAATCTAAAAAAGAGCATACATAACATACGTACAGAAAAGCAAAAATAATTGGCATAAAAACTATAAAACCAAAAAAATAATAGTTATGTAGTTGTATCGAAGGTGATGCGTAGAAGGTAGGCTTGATAAGTACGAAGTGCAACAATATATCAACGGAAAAAAATAAAATTAAACTAATATACATTTCTCGGTAAAAAAAAATTCGGTGATTAATATTCTTTTTCTTGTTAGAAATGTGATCAAATATTCTGTTACAGACTGAAAAATACATCAATATTTCTTCAGACCGCTCGCCACTTTTCAAAAGTATCATTAATATTCTTCTAATATTGAGCAAAATACTCCTGGTCAATATAAATGGCATCAGAGTGGAAATATCGAGCATGGATATAAAACTTGATTTGCCAGTAGAGCTTGGTATAATAATTTATTTATAGAAATTTTAATAATAAATTGCTCTGTAAGACAATAGTCGTATAGTAAGTAAGTAGGAAGGTGAGCTTTCCGAGGAACTGTTTTTAAACACAACTCGTTTAAGGTTGCTAGAAAACGCAATTTTAATAAAATTTTCTAACAAAGCGAGCTATAATAGTCATTCCACTCCGCGGGCTTCTGAGTGCGAGTTCCATGCCAAGCCTGTCATCAAGAGACCATAAATATACACATATATTTTGACAATTTCGCCTCGAAGTTATATACGATATATTTATGTGTTTATAAGTTCTTCACAAGCCTATATATTAGCTAAAACTCAGCTTCTTCAGAGCGGAGAAGTACTACAATTCAAATGGTATACCCCATGTGTCAGAGTTATGTGCCTTGAACTTGATGTACCATGGGTTCTATCGCGCTAAAGATTTTCATGGTATGTGTAACTGCGCAGGAGAGTTGGAATGAAGAGCTTCCGTGATGACTTTACAGCCGTTTCAAAGATACGTAAATTTAGATTTTATGCAGCTCCTTAGCTATTACACTCTGATCGCGAGAGTAGCTTCCGCAGATTTTATTATAATGTAAGGTCATTCTTACTTACACTCCAAGACGTACACAAGAAGCAAGTGGCAGGCGTTCATAAGAATTAGGATGATAAGATCTTATTTCAGCAGTGGGATAAATTAAGGGTAAATCAATTGAAATCGTTTTACGTCAAGTAGACGGGAAGATAGAAAAATCGAACATAATACGAACTTATCTAGCAGCTTTCAGTAGAGAATTTTATGATAGTTTGCTATGCGGTTCTTGTTTTTCTACCTTCAGTAAATCAAATCAACCATACCTCCTGACCGGGTAATAGAACGTATTTTTGAAAACTTAGTGGATTGATTTTAGAAACATGGGGTGACTGCGCAACCGTAAAAATCTTCACAGAAAACACATCAAAAAAAGAGCAAGTAAAGGCTCTGAACTGGAATAACTAAAAGAAAGATTACTGTGCCGATGTTGGGACTACGACTCAAAAATATGTATTGTTTTAGAATGGTGTTGTTAGACACTGAAGACGAAGATGAGTATTAGCTGTAGTTAGCTGTTTATTGGGCAGATCAGATGTTTTGAGGATAAAAGCTCTCGAAGATATTCTCGATATCAGTCTTTTAACCGTTAGTGACATGGCACAATACAAACGTTATAAGATAACGAGTTACACGTACAATATCTGAAAAATAAGGCAATACTGAAGATAAATATCTGAGTTGATGGATATAAATGCGCAGCAGTAAATTCTTCTTCAACCGCTCTAGTGGGCAAGGTAGTTTTGAAATCGATGACTACAACTTTGTCTGCTAACGGTGAAGGTGCCCAGTGAGCAAGTGGTTTACCGGGAATCACACAGGTATGGAAGTCAATGAAAAGTCGAACGAGCTGACTCGCTTGCTTACCTAGAGGACCAGGACACTCCTAGTGCGATTTTAACAATTGAAGCAGAAAGACCGCTTTGAAAACGTTAAATGGCCACAAGTGATATTATATTTTCATAATGATCTAGTAATGGTAATTCAGTTTTGAAAAACGTACTTATCATGCACACCTTGTTTTGAGAGATGCCCCCTATGTATGTGTCTCGATGTGACAACCCAAAATAAAATTTGAAATGCATATGCTAATGAAAGGACTCCCGTGATGATATAAAAGAATTCCTTGTTTTTTTTTAAATGCAGTGGGAGTATGACGGTGTGGAAAAAGTTCGCAAGGAAATATGGAAATGGAGGAAACAAAAATTTTGATATGGAAATGGATGTGAGTACAATGGTGGCTTAGAAGGATGTTAAGGCTGTGAAGAATGTGCATACATACATTAATAGGTGTGGAAGGCGTTATGTACGTTGGTGCAAATGCAAGCTTTGGGCGCTTAGTGCGAAGAATTTCATGGCAATTTTATGTGCAGTAAAAAGTGTTGTATTTTTTTTTTTGTTTAAATTGATGTGCGCTCTTTAAAGTTAATTTATTTATATAGTGCAAACTTTTTTTATTTATTTTATTTACGTTTAATCATTTTATTGATTTCGTTTTTTTATAAAAGTGTGTGGGCAGCTATGTGTACAGCTATAAATAAATGTATAAAACTCATGTGTATATGTGCGTATTTATATTTGAGTCTTTACACAAAAAATCATTAATTAACATTTATCATTGCATTTTAACATTTCATCAATTTCTCACTGTAATATGTCAAAGCGATTGCATTGCAAATTTGAAAATTTTATTTTAACATATACATACATACGTATATATAAAATACACGATTATGTACATATATTAGTGCCTGTGTTCATATGAGTGTATGTGTGTGTGCGCGTGCGTGAAAAATAATTGCACAAGACTTTGTAAGCTGATAGTATGCAGATCAAAAAAAAAAGACATGGCAACAACAACAACAACAAAAAAGAAATTCAAAATACACACACACAAGGAGATATAAATACGGAGAATACAAAATATATAGAAAACAGCAGTGAAATATGGGGAAAAAATTCGGTATGTAACGAGTCGAATGGCATAGCAAAGAGCAAAGCGGGAAAAACGCAGTTGGACAATTAAAATGGTAAAATATTATATCTGTATGTATGTATTTATGTATATGTAGTATGTATTGAAATAAAGGTATGCATGTTTGCTTTGTTTTCTTTTCATTTGTTCGTTGGCAAATGCAATAATATTTTTGTTTTTTATCTTTGTTGTTGCGCATAAAAATGGGAAAATGCCAGCATGTGCATATGTGTAGTCGTGCGAGTTTTGTGTATTTTTATTAGCAGGCGTGGAAAAAATGCATTTTATGGGTAATTGAAATAGCGTGAAGTTTAAATGCGAAAATATTTTTTATGAGTTGTGAATTGTTCAGTGCATATTAAAGTTTAGATGTATTAGTATATAACATGTGTACGCCTTTTACGCAGGAACGTATTAGTTATTACAAATAACGTGCAAAGAAATTTTATTTTTGTAAATTGTATATTTTATTATATTTATACTATATTGTATATATGTTTTCATTATAGGCATTTATGCCGTTTAGCAATTTTTGACTTATGGAATGACTATCGGCTGAAAAGTTTTGAAATTGATTGCTATAAAATATTTTTTACCAGCGTAAATTAAATGTTGATACGAGTATTCGGCTGGTAAAAAGATGACTAATAAATGCCAAAATATTTTAATTATGTATATGTAAATAAACATTGTTATTTTATAACTATAAAATGATTTAATTAAAAGCAACCAATCTAAGTAAATATGGAATGCAGCCAAAAGTCTCACAAAAAATTTGTTTTTTTTTTTAAGAAAAGTAAAACGGATATCAAAATTTTTTTTGACAGAAAAAAAAACACATAATACGTAGAGGGGGAACATCTCCTCAGTTACTTGATTATACAACCTTCAAATGCTTTCGTTTTGCTTGTATTGCGTGCGTTATTGTTGCGAAACTCCTAAAAGTTAATACTAATTTTAAATATGGAACAATTAACCTGCGGGAATAGATAATAAAATTTAAAGTAAATGTTATAAAATCAAAAATGTGATGAATAAATAATAGTAAAAAAAATTATTTATAGTAAACAATGAATAAATTTAAATAATAAATAATACTAACTGTTAAGTAACTTATTAATAATACTTAACCAAAAAAAATTAATTACAAAAATTTAAAATTTATAAAAAATACTATATATTAAATTGCAAATTTTAAATAAAAAAATATGCATTAAAAAGGAAAATAAAAAAGAATCTACACTTTATAATAAATATTAGTTAACGATAACAACTAGTAAATAATAAGTATTAAATAATAAATAAATAACATAAAAAATAGATAATAAATAATAAGTAGTGAATCATAATTGATAAATAACAGGGTTAAAAGAGGCTTCAGACAAAATCGATTACTGCCTTATGGTTGTTTTGCTGGAGCAAATTAAACTGAAAAACGAGACGAATGGATCTGGTGTTGAACGATGACAAGCTAAAATATATAATATTTCAATTGACATTATATATGAAACATTACAGTCGATGCGTGGATAACCCCATACCGTTTAGATTTTCGCCATCATTAATTGTGCCACACAGTAATAAAGTGGACTTTTAATAAAAAATTAAAAAAAGGTAATACTCAAACTAAATAGCTCAAGCAGCGAATGTGTAAATAATTTCTGACAACCTTTGGCTGGCGTTCCACATATTTATACTCAAATTCAATTACGCTGAATATAGTTTTGAAATAACTCTCCACTTAGTTTAGCACGGTAGCTGTTTAAAATGATTTCGAACAATTTCTAACGAGCTATTTTTAATACTTTTTCATTTGCAACTATTTTAAACTCTTGTAATTTGTTGTTTTTATGCTATTGAAGTTTCAAAATTTTTAGCCACGAGCACTTAGTAGTATGCGTTGGCGTGCCGTACACAACATTTCATCGTTTTGCGGTTTTTCATTAACTACTCCAGACAAATTAAAATTAGTCTGCAGAAATTTCCGAAATTGCCGCACAGCAGCAACCCGACATAACCAAAAATAACCCGAAATGTTGATTGAAATACCAATACCAACGAGGAAGTCTCCCCGCTTTACTGCTTCAACTGTATACAATTTTAACACTCACCCAAAACTTTCACCTCCACCGTACGCTGCGCTGTATAGTTGTGTTTGTTGCGGGCAACGCAAGTGTATGTACCCTGATCGGCAGTACGTTGCACATTCTCGATGAGTAGGGTGCCGTTCTGAACACGCTGTCATATGTTGGTTGGCAATCGCACTCCATCTGAAATCGGAAGTGTGTATGTATGTATAAAAAGAGTGCTTGGTTGAGTATAATGAAAACAAAAAACATAAAACAATCACTTGCAACCATAGGTTTAAATAACAATTAGGGTGAACCATTTGTTTACAAAAACTCTCTAAGCTGATCTGGAGCTCGCCCAATCAGCATCAACTATAAGACAATCAATGTGCTTCTTGATAACTTCACCGTTGACAAATGTTGTGCAAGTTGTTGGAAGGAAATGAATTTCTTTGAATTAACATTAAAATTCTGTACAGTCTTCTGCACATAAAATATGACAGAAATACAACTTAGTTTTCCAAGAGATTTCTGAAAAATCTGCAGATTCTTGCTACTGTAATGGAAAAATATAATTACGGGTTCTGCGTTTATTACTCATCAATGTTTTTGGTTCAGATGAGAAAGTATTATTTTTTCCAACTTGTAACCCGGCGCACGAGTTGGAGAATAAGTTTTGATAAAATTCTTAATGCGAGAGATGGAGCAGAACTTTAAGAACTTTAAGATTTCATACTTCAGTCATCAGGAACTTGATTTAGATAAGCAGGGAATCTCTTATCTTTTTTAGATGAAGTAATAAAGTTCTTGGAATTATAGTAGCCAAAGGAAAGTAAGCATTAATAATTTACAGAATTCCAAAAAATTTTAAGTTTAACTTTTTTCGTACTGGTATTTTAACTATTTTATGCTGATACATGATGTCCAATCGGTCGTTTATATGAATGTTAAATTAGCATTAGCGTTAGAGGCCCAAGTACATCTATTATACTTAGGCCGGCATAGGTCTGCTCGTGATACGAGAAGCTCCTCCCATTAGGCTCCAATAACAAACATATTTGATTCCCTTCATTACGTCAATATCTTTGTCGTTAGCAACCTGCCTTTAAAAAATATGATATCGAAATTTTGAAGACCAAAACTATTCAAACAGGGAGGCTGCATGAAAACTGAGAAAACGGCTCTTCCACCTAGTCTTTCTTCAGGTTGTTTGATAAAATAGAAGCCTGTCATGACACTTTTCATCCAATTTTCTTGAATATGTTCTGTTTCATTTCCGTCTGGTTTTCATAGATTGTGGCGAATCATAAATCGCTTTCACTTTAACAAGGTCTACTCCTAGGCAAGACGAAGAATAGTATGCACGTAGCAAAAGGCATATCAATACGTCTTTATTGAGAATTAGCCTTATCAAGTCTTCGTCAGTCTTACAGTTTCCTTCGATATCTCATGTGAGGAGCAGTAACTTGTTTGTCCATGTCCATCTTCTGCAGAGTTCTGCGACAGTCCAGCACAACTATAATTCATGGTGGGCGACCCTAATTGCTGTCTTGATGTTGCTGAACATAAAAATATTTTTATCTTTGAAACTGGCTTTGATATGCAATGTTCCGATATTCTGAAATGAATGAGAGTACCATGGAGGCTCTCGTCAGAATACACTATCACTCTCTCTCTTCTCAAGTTTGGAGTTGAGTACAATATTAGTTTATTTTCTTTAAAGGAATTGCGGCTATTGCGACCGACTAATATAATATCAAATTTAGTGGTATGATACTGAATATTGCATTCAGAACCCATTCCCATTTGGCTCTGATACTTATGGACAGTCCTTATCTCTTACCAATCTCTGAACCTATAGAAGCATGGAATAAAGTCTGTGGGTTAGAACTAATTTCAGCTTATTTGAGTCCGTAAAGGGTAGAGCAAGTCGACACTCTTCACAGAGTTCTGTGCATCAAGTCATATGGTCCTTGAAGAGAGTTTCCCATACATGCTATGGCTACACCATTTGTTTCGACAAAAGCTCTGTCACCATATCCATACGCTGGGAGAAAGTTTACTGTAAGGTTTGAGGAGTTTCTCCGCCTGCATATCGCTCGTCTATGTTAGATTCACAGATATAATTCTGCTTCAGAGCAACAGTATATATGGCATAACGTTTTTAAATACGTCCTTTTTTTATCGGAAAACAACAAGATATGATTCCTAATTGTAGAGAGGTTTTCCAAAGAAGGATACTGGTTTGTGTTAAGCACTTTGGGTTTACTTTTCTTTTTGATAGACCGATCATTATAGGCAAGATAAACTCTGTCTCACTCTCCCTCTCTGTCTCTATCTATTTTATAAATAGTTAGGACTTCAACGTTCTCCAATGTTTTTGCCCAAAGTTTGATTTACTGATGGGTTTAAAGCCCTTTAAAAGGATATGTGAGTGTGTATTTTATGATAATTATGAATTAGGAATCACACAGGTATCAGTCTCCATATCATTGGAGTATGGTTGACTTTCAGACATGGTTCTAGATTATTTGAGCGAGCATATTTATAGCTCCGAGTTGTTTCGTGGCTGCGCGGGTGGTTTGTTTGAACTAAGGATAGATAAGCAACAGATCACGCTCAACCAAACTTGTATTCAGAAGCAAAACTAGGAAAAATGCCAGAAAGTCCAGTAATAAAAATATTGCTATAAAAATTAGTAACACCCTAACAACCATTTATGCAGCTTAATATGCAAAACGCAAACTGCAACACATTCTATATGCCAAGTATGTACATACATATACAAATGCATTTTATATATAAATATAATATGTAAAGAGCTCGTTGAGCGGAAATACCCACAGAAAGCGTATTTCGTTTGCAAGGTCCCTACAGTAACGGTGACTGATGATAGAGCCGCTGCTACACTGAACTGTCAGCCGGGTTCAAATAAATACATACAAACCGTATATTTATGCATAGTTGTAAATTAATAAATACTTGTATATGCGTGTGTAACAGATATACATATATGTATGGTTTACCTTTCTCTATGATGATGCTGTCGATTGGATATCTCGCCACTGGACAATTCAAAAAAAATGTTTTATCGGTCACAGCAGATAGTTTCGGCATCATGCGCACATATGGCATACCTGCAAAGTAAGTCGAAAAGGAGCATAGATAAATGTATTGTATAAGTATGCATGTATGTTTGTAAATGAGGAATTTTTCAGGTGAGTAGATGTCAGCTAAACAAACAAGTAAATATACAAAATTTCAGCGTAAAAGCACGAAGTTCATTTCAGCTGAATGTTTCAAATAATGTAGCATCCTGCCAATCAGTCTAGCTGTATAGTTAGTTTATATGTATGTACAATTATGTGTGCATGTAAATTAAACAACTTGACTGAACATTTAGAAGATATTATATTTACTTTGCTGTTGTGCACACGAAGTTAATAAAATTTGTATGTGCACAAGCATATAAACGTATATAAATATATGTATGTAAACGCGATTACTAACATCTTTGTAATATAGTATGTCATCGGCACTCACCGTATATATTTAGACGTGCCGCATGTGATGCTTCCCCTGCACGCGAAATCGCTTTGCACTCATATTCACCGCCATCCTCTGACTTCACCGCAGATATGTTGACATGGCTTATAACATCGCCAAACATTGTGACATATTGTCCAATCATGAGACGGTCGTTCTGTATAAGGATGAACAGTAAGGAATAAAAACATACATTTCAGCTGCAAAAAGTCTTTTATTGGTTTATATGTAACAAAAATAATTAAGTTAAATTTTCTAATTGCGGTCGCCCTTCGGCAGAGAATGTCCACCCCTCTGAGTTTATTTCGGAGGTGAAATAAAGCTCCTCATAAGAAACCCGTTCGGAGGCGGCTTAGTATACACTGTAGGCCCCTCCATTTGTTGGAAAAACATTAAGACGCCAAGCAAAAAGTTGGAGAAGGAGCTCGGCCGGAAATCGCTTCAGCGGTTATAAAGCGTCTTGATGATTGTCCAATAAATTTATTCCAAGCCAAAAAAATTATCAAATGTAACATGAACTGCAAAATAGTAAAATTTTTATTCCTCACTTCGTAGATTTGAATGAAATATACTGAAGAAATGGGCATGGGTAGCGGAAAGGAATTATTTGTTCAACTACTGTGATTGATCTGTCAAGGTTAAACAGGGCCTGTGCAGTCTACTTGTCGAACACTAATCAAATAGACGAAAGCTTATTTCGTAATAGGTTTCATCACTCGAGTTACCTGCTTGCTCATATTGATTTCCTTCATGTTTTTCACCTGTTGAATAACGACTGATCTCTTATTTTCCAACTATTTATGTTGTATATAAAATTCTTCAGTTTTCATAAACGAATACTCAAAAGTTGTTGGTTTGTTAAAAGCATTGCTGACCCACAATGCCACTTGCTCTTCAGTGGAAAAAAGTACTTGCCAATATATTTAATATACAAAAATGATAAAAATTTATAATTTTATGTATATACAAAAATAGCAATCAAGGTTTATAGAAGTGTCAAGTTGGTTCAATTTAGTGAGTTGCCGAAGATTTTAAAATATTTTTGCATTATTTAATCCATGAAACATAGTAAAATTTTGACTATAAACTGCATTCAATTTTTTCTAAATTTAAAACCATCACAACTTAAATGTCCTGAATAGTTTTATGTCAAACTAATGTATTTTAAAATTCAACAATTTTTAAATTATGTAAATTAATACTATTTTTAAACAAACAGTTCTATAGCTAGTAACTCTAACTTTTGGTGTCATGTAATACGAATGGCATAAGAAATAATGTCAAAAATATTAAAAATTATAAAAATTCAATGCGAACTCGTAATATTATAAAATATTTATTTTATTATGAAAAGAGATTTTCGCATAATTTTCGTATCTGCTGGAAAGCTTTTGAGAAATGGATGGATTGTGTTTAAAAAATTCGAAACGGGGAAAAAGTGTGCAGTGGGTTATTGTTGACAAAGATTTGAAAAAAAACTAAATTTGAAACAAAGATTCGTTAACCGCCTAGTTTTTTGAATTTAGTGATATAAGTTTCTGAGCTGAAAACTTGATGTTTTTGGTATAAAGAAAACGTTAATTCTCGGATAGTTAAATATTTGTAAAATATTTATATTACATATCCATATTTAAGAACAAAATATTGTTTTAATTTTTTAACCTGTATTTACCAAATCTGTGACTGCGTTGGCGTTACCAAAAACAATTATTGTATAATGTGAGTTTTCTTCTGTATAAGACAATTTTTCCTATATGGCTTTTATTGGGATCCTGTACATATGTATGTATTTGATAAGGAAAGAAATTCCTTTTTTTATAATATATGTATGAAGTCTCTCCCATTGTATATAAGACGAAATTGGTTCGGTGACGTCAACGGTTGTCGTAACCTTGTCTTCTATAAACCTTGGTAAAAAATGATACCCAAAGTCATCGTAAATTTTTTTCAGATATGAGAATTAATATTTATTCCAAAAAAAAAAAAATAAGAAAGACAGCCCTTCATTCTAGGTTTGATGCGTTTTAACTTGACTTACTGTTATTTACAGCACTGCATACTTTTTAAAGCATTTCACTCTTTGGAAAAATTTCACTTCATTTATAGTTTTTTATAAAGTTCTGATACAATACTATAAATTTTTTGTCATTGACCATTTTACCATTGATTTAACATAATTACTTACAACAAAGAAGATTATTTATTAAATGAATTCAGTATTTTGGAGCTTATATAAAAAATAATTATTTAAGTAACGACGAATGAGAAAAGCTATAACGGCAGCTTTACCGCTTTTGCAAATATTCTGAAATTCTACTCGTAATTGCGCTGAATCTCTGTCTTATGTTGCACATCTTATGCCACGAAAAATATATTTTCTTAGGACCTTCCAAAAACACATTAATCTTTCTTTATATAAATCATTCCAAAATCCCTCGATCGCACATTTTTATTACAGGGTTACATCTAGTTAGAAGCTCTAAAAAATATGGTTTATCAAACATTTTTCACGAGCCAACTTTTAGTTTTATTATTTTGAGCATTGGAAACTATGAAGAGTAATAAGAATTATTTTATTTATAAAAATAGCAAGTTTTGAAGATGCTACAGCTGATCTGCAGGGGCCTTTCGCACAAAAAATAATAAGTTCCAGAGAAATCTTGGTCACCGACTTGAAATATATTGTAACTTTCAAAATAACAGTGGGATCCTCTTAAATTTTTTTTTCAATTGAATAAATCTATATTACGAAAATGAAATTTAAAAAAAAAATATGAATTGTAGAAAATTCTGTCTAGATGTAACACCTTCAGAAAACACTTCACTGAATAATATGTAAAGAAACTGGAAAAAAGAAAAGACTTGGCGCAAAACTTTTCGTAAGAATCTGAATAAATTCAGCATTCATATATGTATTTTGCATATAAAGAAACGACAAACAAAATCCTATTTAGAAAAAAAATTTATTTTTAAATAATAATAAATAAATATATAGCCAAAGTTGAGCTTAGCAATTTTGGAAACCACATCAACAACAACTAAATCGGCAATAAGAATATGGCTGAACGCACACTGAATGCTCTCCGACGCCACAAAAAAAGCAAAAAAAAAGAATGGACGCAAAGCACCAAAGCAACATCGCAACTAGAGCATTCAACGCATCCACCAGCATACCAAGAGCAGCCGCATCTTCAACTAACTTCGCAATCGCAATGCATTTCTTCGCATCGTTGCAATGGCATTGATGTGCCACTAGACGGGCATTTTAAAGTTGTGGCGCATTTCTATACATACATACATACACGTATGTGTCTCTGGGAGTGGTACATTTTAAGACACATACTTTGGAGAATTCGAATGCCGTAAAACTCTAATGTTGACTTTAATTTGCGTATCCTCTCGTGCATGGCATCAAAATGGAAGTTATGCAAAATACTCGCACGTTGGTTGTCCCAACAGCAGCCATCAGCAGCAGTGATTATATGCAAAGGGTGTAAAAGCAAGCGAGCAAGAATGAGTTATTTTTGGTATAAAAAAGAGCATCCGTTCAGCAGTTTTAAAAAATAAAAAAACTAACAGTGACTAGAAAGGGTACAATGATGTATGATCAGATCATGAATGATCAGTAAATGAAATGAGGTAGGGAGAAAGCATCAAAGAGAATACCCAGAAATTTAAATGAATGAAATTGCTGATGCAAGAGAAATACCGAGAACTACCCTATGGGGCCAAAGCCCTTCTTTTCCACAGAACGGTACAAGGCTTAGAAATGAAGAAAAATAAGATATAGTTACTGGCTCCGAAACGATGAGATTAAGTAATCCAAGACTAATAACAATTGAATAAAAAAAATTATTTTATACAGTAAAAATAACTAAATAATGCCAACAAGATTACTTACAGGACACTGCAGGCCGCGCAATCACATTCGTAAAATGAAAAAATTTGCAGATTCTACATTATGAAACTTGAGACACTAGCTCATATATTGCTGAAGTGTAAAGTAATTTTCAGTCACCTTACAATCGTAGCAAAATCACCATAGGTGGTCTAAGTCCATAGATCAAATAGAGATTTAGGGCTGAGCGATCTAACGTAATAAGAAGTATGTAGATCGTTTGTTGTGGGTAACTTCTGTCTATCTACCAATCTCTCTTGCCTTATTTTACCTTATTTAATTTTTCTGATGAGGAACACTCGAATACTTATATAATCTTTTTCTACCGAATTTCGCTTTACACATGTAATGACAATGTCTCTTGAAATTTAAACAAATTAAATTATCAGCTCTTTAATTTAATTTAATCTTGTTCTATTTTATCTTATTTAAAATATTTTACCATATTTTATTTAATTCTTTATTTCATTTCATTTTTTTTTTTTTTTGTAATTTTGTTTCATTTCATTTTATGAAACGATAACGTGTCGGAACCGCTCCGTTAGTTCTGCTTTCTCCAGGCTTGATAAAGAAGGGAAGGTAGTGGCTCTGGTAGTGAACGAGGACAAGACGAAATATCTCTTGTCATCACACGAACAGTCATCGCATTCGCGGCTCGGCTCTCACGTCACTGTTGACAGTCATAACTTTGAAGTCGTTAATAATTTCGTCTACCTAAGAACCATAATAACGTCAGCTTTGAAGTCTAGCGCCAACAAGTGCTGCTTTGGACCGAGTAGGCAATTGAAAAGTAAGGCCCTCTCCCGAGGAACGAAAACCAAATACTACAAGTCCCTCATCGTTCCCGTCCTGCTATATGGTGCGGAAGTATGGACCATGACAGCATCTGATCCGTCGGCTTTAGGAGTTTTCGAGAGAAAGGTTTACGAGTGTGTACGAGTTATAAGGCGACATTGATATAGTTCAGCGAATCAAGAAGCAGCGGATACGCTTCCTAGGTCATGTGGTTCGGATGGATGGGAATACTCCAGCTTTGAAAGTTTTCGATGCAGTACTCGCCAGTGGAAGCAGAGGAAGAGGAAGACCTCCACTCCGTTGGAAAAACCGGTTAGAGAAGGACTTGACTGTACTTGGTTTTCCCAATTGGCGCCAAACAGCAAAAAGAAGAAACGAATAGCGCATTGCTGTATATTGGCTATAATCGCGTAAGTGGTGTCTATGCCAAAAAAGTACGTGAGTAAGTAAGTAAGTTATAAATTATAGCCTATAACATAAAGCTCCCATACAACGAATTTTTCAGATATATTAGATATGACGTTTTTACATTCGTATTATACATCAGGATTCCCACCCAAGCACCCAGATGAGAGGTTTTGGGTAAAAAAATCCGTCCAATAACATCCAAGACCGAGGAATTTGGTTATTCTGCACCACACTTTTTTATTAATGTTTTTATATTGATAATTTTTTTCTGTAATTATTCTTTTTCTCGTTTCTTTCATTTTATTTTTTGATTTCTCATTTAATTATATTTTAATTTATTTTGTATTTCTTTTCAATTTATTTCAATTTTTTATTTTTATTTCATTTTATTTAATTGTATTTTATTTAATTCCATTTAGTTTAAGTCCTTGCACAACTTTAGGCGCAGGTTATTTGAGTTTGTGCATACTTGTATGTATGTATATTTGTATTTTACATCTTTTCGTGTATGAAGTTATACGGCTAAGGTGCCCATAGTGCAATTAAGTTCATCTTCTCGTAGAGAAGTTGCGATTGGCGGCTGCGCACCCTCAGATATCTCACGAGCGTCGGAATAGGACCAATGGGTTACGCCCAATTTTTGATACCCTACCCGCTAATACACTATTTTATGAATTATTATACTGTTTCATTTGTTTTTTTATTCTATAACTTAGTTATACTTTTATTTTTATTTTAATATTTTTCTTTATTTTATTAATATAATTTTATTCATTTGACTTAAATCTTACTTTTATTCTCATTATCTTATATCTTTTTTAATTTTAATTTGTCTTATTTATTTTATTTATTTCCATTTTATTTTATTTTATTTTATTTTTATTTTAGTTTATAATTTCATTATAATTTAAATTGAATATATAAAATTGCTTCGTTTTTATTATATTTTGCTTTGATTTTATTTTAATGTATGTTACTTAATTTTAGTTTATTTTATTTGACTTAATATAATTTTGTTTCTTTTACTTTGTTTTTTAAATTTTTTGAATTTTATTTTCTTCTCTCATTTAATATTTCTATATAATAATATATATTGTCCTGTTTTATTCTTTTAATTCTGATACATTTTGGTCTTATACTATTTCGATTCCCTTTTATTTATTAAATATAATATTACGTTAACTAAGTTATATTATAATTGTTTGTTTTTTTTTGCGGTCATACTATTAATTTTGAAAAGTTTTTAGTGAGCTAAAGTCCTGTTTTTTTGTATGAACATCTTCTCATCAGACTTCTTATCGCCTGTTTAGTCATGATCCCTTGGATCGATACCTGCCATAACATCAGACTTCTTATGTGTTGTTGCATAACAAAAATATTTAATTCATACAAACTTTTAGCTCACTAAAAAGCTAATAACAAATAATTCTATTTTACTATATTTCAAATTATTTTATTTTGTGTTGCTTTGATTTCCTTTATTTGATATTATTTTTTATTATTTTATCGATTTTATTTATATTTGCTTGTATTATTTTGTTATGCTTTATTTTAGTTAATTTAATTTAATTGCATTTTATTTTATTTCTTTCAGTTTTATTTAATCCTATTTTTTATCTTATTTTTTGTATCATTTTATAATTTTGTTTTTATATTTATTTTATTTTAAAGAGAAAGAGTATATCAAATATTCTGTCCATACCAAAAATATTTCTCTGGCTTTATCACTATCCATAGTTGCTTGGGATTGAAGAAACCTTTACATTACTGAAATGTTATGAACATACGCACGCGAACAAATATTTGCACACGCAATTAATTCCATGCGGTTATAATCCTGCTCTCTCACATTTGGAGCTTAGCTGCACAAGTATGTAGAAGTTGATAATGAAATTCGAAGATATTTCAACAATTCCAACACTCAAACTCGAGCATGTCACCGCCACACCACCTCAACTTTATGCTTCATACTCCCAGTGGTTTCAAATGCTCTTGCCATTACTCTTTTTCCATCATCTACCGTCTGAAAATAAAATTGCTGCGCTATAAGCAAGAAGTGTGTGTTTATGTGCGTGTAAGAGTAGGGTTGTGAATATGACTAGCTTTTTCCCCATAGTAAGTCATATTCAAATTTACTGTTGACAGCATTCTCGCGTTGATGCTGTACTCAGAGCCTGAATATGTTTACACACACACTACATCCATACATACATACAATACATACATATGCACATGAGTACACATTTGTGCAAATTCCGCAAATGGAAAAATTGAATTTGAAATATGAAGACGTTTGTAGACGCAACATAAAAATACACAGACACCATGTCTTCTATGAAGTAACTTTGACTGAGTGTCTAACTGACAGGTAAATAATCGAGTTAGTAGTTTTTTAATCCTTTGATAATGAAGTGATGTAGCGCAATGCCTTCGAGAGTGTCAATATTTTATTTTTATTTTTATTAAGGAAAACCATATTTAATTGTGGCTGGAAATGTAGTTAGCTAGCATTGCTGACATAAATAAATGGCGTATAGATTCATATATTGTTGATAAGATAAAGCTTAATGTTGATAATTTAAGCAAAAAATATAAAAAAAATAAATCATAATTATAAAAAATCTACTTTGACTGAAAATAATTTTTCTAGCTATTAACATATACATATATTATAAATAATATATAAATTAAAGTATTGCCATACTTACATTTGGCAGTGGAAATCCATCTAAGTGCCAAACGATTTTTGGTGTGGGGTTGCCACTGGCACTACATTTCAGCGATACTGATGGTCCTGGTTGTATAGTTTGTTCGATGAATTTATAAATGAGTTGTGGTGCCACCTCTACAAAATGCAAAAATTAATCATTATGTATTTATTTATGCCGTAAAAACTAAAATTTTTATAGAAATTTGCAAATAGGATCACTATAAGGAAAATATTATAAAACATTCGGTCGTAACTCAAAAAGTACGGACGTCATTATAGGGCACATATCCCAGCGCTTGATATTGAAAAAAAGGTTTCTGGATATATTTAAATAGGGTGAATAAATCAGAAATTTAGAATGTGGCAAGGGGTACTGCAATGTAGAGCGGAACATCATTTAAACGGAGGGATTTTAAATGGCTGACGAGCGATATAGATAATTAACTAATTTCGGACTTGGCAACATCAAAACACTTAGTCCAAAATGAAGCCATTGTATTACAACAAAGAGTGCTTGTCCCCTGTAAATTATAGCGGAGACAATTCAATTAGCCCTAGAAAATGCATCATAAAAATCATTGGAACACATACAAAGACGGACTTTGCGCCTGCCATTAGGCTTTGAGGGTAAGCAAAAATGTATAAGACATATAAGATAGTTCCCGGAATTTGTCATTTAAACCATAAGCCTGTTGTATCGTTGCTTTGGTGGATCTACACTAGTGTGAACACTCTAGTGGTGGACAACATTATTCAGAACAGTGAATGTGGGGAATTCGGCATGTCTATAGGCGAACAGCTCAGGTCAGTGTTTCTTTTGAACTCATTTCTAACTGGAATAGAATGATATGGTGGCTGGCTCTATACTGATGATATAGCCAATGGATAAAACGGCAAGTGCATTGCTGTGGTCTAATCGCTATTGACTCTGTATTAACTATAATAAAGTGGGGCTTGTCCTCTTCAAAAGAACTGCATTAATTAGTCGAGAAGTTCTATACGGAATTCAAAGAAGAGTAGTAACTAAGGTTATACGTTTTGGAGTCATTCTTGACAAAAAAAAAGCTAGAAAGAGCATATTATTCACATACACGTATGTATCCGTGCTGTGACCGAAACTCTTAAGTGGTGTTCTACATAGAACAACTCTAAATGAAGCTCTGAATGTTATTCTTGACATCCTCTCTCTAGGATTGACAGCATTTCCAAAGACATCACTGCCGTCTCTTCGCTTAGGAGAACAGAAATTATGTAGCTGACTTAAACAAAACTTTCAAAAATCCTCAAGAACTATACTTTTTTTACTAAGCAGTGCAGACCAATGGTTATATACTTTCGATAATCTATACGACAGTCATTCAAGGACGGAACATATAAATTTGATTCTCCAGCCGGAAAGAGAGAGAAATATTCAATCTTCAGTGATAGGTACGCAGCTATTATACCTTCGGGCTACCACGTTTGGGACCAAAAAGTCACAAGTTAAAGAAAACATTGGTATACAAAATCAAGGTAAACGAGATCGGAAACCTCGAATGGTTTATATTCATTGAACATCTCAATAGCAAATGGTTAAAAAAGGAACTGCAGCGCCAGAGAAAAATTTTCGAGGTGTCGGAATGAGATTTTATGACTGAGGTATTTCCCTGAGCACTCCTACCTTCCTAGCTAATTGATATGTGTATTTGTATATTGCAAAAAGTAAGACTTGAGTACCACGGTCATTTAAGATGTATAGATTCGTTTACTTAGCACATCATAAATATTTTACTCACCTCCAAGTCTTAACTCAGCCGTACCTTGTGCTGATTCCAAGTCATTTTTCACAATACACTGATACATTCCCTTGTCCTCTTTCGTAATTGACGTAATGCGTATATGCTCTGTAGAAAGTAAACGAACGCGTGCACCGGAACGTAATGGTTGACCGTCCTTCAGCCATATAATAGTTTGTTTTGGAAAGCCCGAAATGCTGCAAATCTTGAAAAAAAAGTTAAAAAAGAATAAAAATAGATATCTATGTACGAATGCTTTGTATATATACTATATACATATACAAGTATGCATCGATAACAATCATTAGACTAATTGAGGAAAATTTTCTTTTCGCCGAACTTACCAAGTTTGCTGTCTTGCCGAGATTTACCGTCTGTATGGTGGGTTGTATGCTGGCAGTGAGTTGCGATGTAACAGCAATTTGTACTTCCAAAGTTTCGCTACCCTCCGAGTTGGTAGCTGTGCAGAAGAAAGCGCCGCTATCGGACCGATCGACCGCGGTTATAATTAGTGTGCCTTCCTTAATTTTCGCACGACCTGTCGCCAACAAATGTTGTACGGATTCCTCATTATTTGGCCGTTTCGTGTGCCAGCTGGAAGTAATTTACAAATGGTTGAAATTTATTAGTTGTAGAAGTATATTTTTTGTTTGTTATGAAAACTTTTCATTTCCTACTTGCCAAGCAAAATTCTTAATTTCATTAACAGAATTGTTTGACAGTAAAATGGTTTAGGGTCGAATAATTGTGCGAGTTCAATAAATGTAAGAACGTTTGTTCAAAAGTTATCATGATAAATGTCTGAGAAGATCCCTACAAGACAAATGAGAGGATACTTACATCAATGTAATTAATGGGCCATAACGGAACCGTAATCTAACACAATCGTAATCTTTTACAAAATTTTCAATCACCAAATCAGAAAGTATGTGCTGTATGCCCTGAATAAGAAGTTAAGCCACAAGATCTCGGTGGCGAACTGCGATCACCTCTACGAGAGATACCACTGTCCGGAAACTTTTCCTTTAAAAGATTTAAAGTAAACATTGTCGACATCAGTATGGATGGAGATATTTTCCAACAACAAATCTTGAGTTTCATCAGTCAAGTTGACATTTCGCTGAAATTCCGGATTATGTTTAATGCAATTTCAAGTACTCAATCAAGCGAAGACAGAACGTTGTTGACGATCGACCGTATGGACTCCTTGAGTAAACTAAATTTGATAAGCCTTATAACTCAAGTCATTACCGAAAGAATGACGAGGAATGGAAAAAGGTGGGGTATTTTCAAAATAGCATTTTTCAAAAACCCTTTACTTTTATTATTTATTATAATAGCAAATCCTTGAGATAAAAGTGTATATTGTAAATATTTATAAAAAAAATATGAACCTTTAATTTGATACCTTACCTTAAAGCAAATATCATGTTATACTTTAAATGCATGTAATTGATGAAATATTTTAAATTGGATGGGATTCCAAAGATTTTTTATTGGACTAGTCAAAAAAGATTTTTAATTTTTAGATTAAGGCATTTCCGATGGAACTCTACGATAAATCTTCTCCCTACAAGAACCGTTCAAAGCTTCTAAATCTACCTACTCTTGCAAGTTGTGGAGACATGTTGGGCGCATAGTTTGTAGTGAAAGTTCTCAACGGATGTTCCAGCTCTAATATCTAGACAGTTTATGCGTTTACTATTAAAGTCATGTAAAACAAATTGTGAATTGAATGAACCCTTTCGTCGATTTTGGCACAATTTTAATTTTCATTCCAGAACCTTCGATTTCTCGGACTCACTTTTTAGCATCGAAAAAACTATTATTGTTTCTCTCAACAAATAAATTTTAAACTTCCTTAACTACTAAATTTCGGCTGTAAAATAATTATTTTTTTCTGTAGCTGAAGAGATTTAAATCCCCACATTTAAGAAACGCTTCACAGTCATAATTCGGCATACTCCGCACGTTATTCGAATGTCACCTCTAATGTCGGTTGGGCGGGTAGAGAGTATTCGTTTGGCTTATTATTGTTATTATTATTAGCCAATGTGACCCTAGTACGCTGGAATATCCCTCACTTTCTTCCAGCTCTTAATGGTGTTAACCTGTTGGCAAATGCGAATTTTCTGGTTATACTAAATTGTCAAGCTAACTTTGGAATATATTAATACCTATATAATTTCAGCTTAGACAATCGATTAAGAAGCCCGGCGCGAATCTCGTAGCAAGCCACATACGAGGTGTGACGATTAAGTAATTAGATTTATTCCATAAAAACCATATATTTCGATTCCAGCTCATTATTTAATTATACTTTTATGGCTACACATCGCTACAGTGAGTCGAAGCTGTATACAATGATTGGACCTAGGTCAGTAACATGTGCTTTGTTATTTACATACATAGACAAAGAGCACAAGTATTTTGAGATGGAGATTTTATGAACAAGAAATTATCATTAGAATAAAGAGCATTGTTGGCTATCAATTAATAAGAACGCGTAGCACGTATTACGTCGAAAACTTTCAAAGCCAAAGTACTCTTATCCTTCCGGACCATATGCAGGACGGCAAATGTTGAGCGACTTGTATAATTTTGTCTTTGCTCATCGAGAGAGGAACGTTGATGCTGACATTGTTTTTGGTGTTATTATTGGTTCCAGGATAGACGAAGTTATGACTCTTTATATTATCCAGTCTGGAGAAAACTCACAGCACTGTGTTTGAGGTCAATGATGTCAATTATATATTTTTTCAGAATATAGTATTGGCCTTTTGGTCTTATCTAGGACTGATTTAAAATATGGTGAACATCAGGTTACTGCTGAGGATAATATGATAAGGTCAAATAAGTTTGTTGATGAGAGGCTTATCCCACTCTTTTTCAAAAAAGATGATCCAGGCTTCTTGTCAGCTTCTCATTTTCATAATTGAATAGCTCGGCCGACAATATATTGGCCCCCACAGCTTTGATACCTTCTTAGCAGGCAAATGTTATTCGAACTTCCCCATAGTTGGACAACGAAACACCGGTTCGATCGTTATGGGTTGGGTATTCGAGTTGACCATCTTCTGATGCTGCACTTTCTCAGCCATTCAGCAGGCTTGAGAAGTGTCCTCTCCATTCATTCAAGATACTGTGGGAATCGTTCGCTGGGTCTTTATACCGAGTTGTTGACAACTGCTCTCAGAGAGCAAGAGTACAAGTTTAGAAGAAAACTATTTTGCTGTCTAATAGACAGTATTTTATAATAGTTTCATAGTGGTTCCTTGAGTATTATATTCATGTCCTCAGATAAGCTGTGCCTACGAAAAAGAGTATTTTATTATCAAATTATAATATGTTCTCATTCTAACAAAGATCGCGTTTAAAGTTAACGCAGGTTTTGCATTATTTTGCTTCGTACATCCATGCCGCACACTGTTCGGTCTAAGAATATTTCATGTCGCTGGTTATGGTATTTTGTGGTGCTTATTATGGGTAGTTCTTGCTGTTGTTTCTACTATTACGCTGCTTGGTTGCCGTGGCATATTAAAATATTGCATGTCAATGTACTCGAGCGTATCAACTGAACGTGCACGTAGACACCAGCCCACATTGCCCGCTGTCTCAACTCACATTTAGCACAAATACACAAATAAATAAGAACGTCCTGTCATCTCATATAAACAAACGCGTGCACACACGCACACCCTTCAGCTCACATATTTTCGGTATGTTACGTATACGCAAAAGTCGGTGGCCGTCGGCATCTAACCGCTACAATGCTGCGAAGTTGGAAATATCGCCATACTCATTTTCATTTGACTGCTTGCTTGGCTGGCTGGTTGGTTGGTTGGTTGGTTAGGTTTGGCTTCGTTGCCTCTGGACCAATCGGCATGGTTAAGTATTTCCACTGTCGCCTGAGTTTCGTTCCGGTTTTTTCATGTCTGCCCTTACAAACATCTCTCATTTTCTAGATTTCTACTTTTTGCATTGCATTTAATTTTCTTTTTACTCGCATGCTTTTCTCCACTTTCCTTTCCTTTCTTTATTATTTTGAGTTTTTTGTTTTATTTTCTTATTTTTGCTTTCCTATTTGCTTATTGTTTTATTTATGCCGTTCTGCTTTTTAGTTTTTCTGCTTCTTAATTTTCTGCTCTTTACATTTTCCCTTTGTGTTGCGCGTTCAACATTCGTTGGCGGTTGACTGTGTTTGGGACAGTTGCAGCAGTCATGTGTGTTAAATTATTTCCCCGCTCACCCGTGCCCTGGTTGCCCTCATATTCCCCATACTTTGGCTCGTCAGGACCCAGTCTAGTTAATTTCGCTTTGTCTCAGGTTGGGTAGGTTTGATGCAGCAGCGGCAAGTTTGTACCGAAATATGTACGGTATTCTCACACAGGCATTCCAGTACACAGGAAAATTTCATATTATACATACACACATATATACATATGAGTACTTGTAGTGCTTAGATATGTCCCTTACAACAGACAGTTGATAAGAGGACTGGTTGGTTTGTGCATACTCTTCTCGTTTTCAATTTCTGTAAAAATAATAAATTCTCATCTTTCGACTTTCATTTCATTTTGGCAAATTTAATTGAAACAATAACATCGTCTATATTATTTTGAGCGCATAGCCCAAATTTTACTGTGAAATTTTAGTACAAATTTAAGTTTAATTAATTTTTCTTAATACGAGAGGATTATCAAAAGTTCGCTGGGTTGACCAGAAAAAAAAAACAAACAAAAAATTCTTTTGTATTTATTCGCAATCTTTGCCTTTCTTATCTTTCCTACATAATTGCCTGGGGTGTTATGGGGTGTAGTCAATCTTCTGGGTATCCTGTTACAGTTGCAAGTCTATACTCAATTCCTGCTCTTACGTCCAAGTTGCGCACCCTGGAAACGTGAGCAACCTTTGTGCAAGGTGCGGTAACCAATCCGCCTGGAGCCTGGGCTAATGAGAGAGGAAGCTTCAGTGGGGCCACTCCGACTTATTCGGTTTAAGGATCTGCTGAAGTTTAATTGCAGCGTCTGTTCACTAGAGGTGCGACATTGGTCTTGAAGCAAGCGGCTCACTTTATAAATGTGTAAACAAAACTTTCAACTTATTCGCCTAGCGAGGTTGTGCGCTGGGACCCGCCACTTAGAAACCAGCTCCAATGAAAAATGCAACAACGCCTCGGATGAGGTACCCTGTATGTTGACGACACCCGCAAACGAATTAAGCATCACGATTTGAGGGCATGCACCAGGAATGTCCGGTACCTTAATTGGAAAAGTGCCACTGCCCAGCTGGTTGATGTCCTCGTAATAATATAGGCTGACATACCGCCGTCCAAGAAGTGCGATGGTCGGACAAGGACGAAAGCGAGTAAGTTCTTGTGACATTTACTATAGCGGCCATATAAAGGAGCGCAAACTCCTGTGTGTGTGGATTTGTGGTAGAACAGAGACTCCGTCCTCGAGTATACAATCCGCATCAAAGCGAAATTTTACAACAAATCTCTGATTTGCGCCCACGCTCCGACGGAAGAGAAGAACGATTTGGCCACAGATACCTTTTATGAGCGCCTAGAGTATAATTACGAGCGCTGCCCT